AGTCTATCTTCAGTTGATGGTGGATTGAGTTTGAACCCATTCTTTACTCTTCTTCCCTCCACATTTTAGGTATATGGTGTCATACTTTACATCCTTTTGAGAGTCCCTTCACTGATTTTTACAGATAAAGTTATTTTTACTGCTTTTGTGTTTGTTACTTTTCTTACTCTTACTTATGGTCTTTCCTTTCCACTCAGAGTCACCTTCAGCATTTCTTGCAAGGCCGGTTTAGTGGTCATGAACTCCTTTAGCTTTTGTTTGGGAAATTCTTTATCTCTCCTATTTTAGGAGGCCACTTTCTTCTCATCTGCGAAGTTTCTGCTGAAAAATCTGTTGATAGCCTTATGGGGTTTCCCTTGTATGTAACTATTTTCTCTTAACTGCTTTTATTTTTGTTTTATTTATTTTTTTAAGATTTTATTTATTTGAGAGAGCGAGCAAGTGAGAGTGAGAGAGAACACAAGTAGGGGGAGAGGCAGAGGGAGAAGCAGGCTCTCCGCTGAGCAGGGAGCCAGATGCGGGACTCGATCCCAGGACTCAGGGACCACGACCTGAGCTGAAGGAGGACGCTTAACTGACTGAGCCACCCAGGTGCTCCTCTTAACTGCTTTTAAAATTCTCTCTTTATCACTACTTTTTGCCGTTTTAATTACTAAGTGTCTTGGTGTGGGCCTCCTTGGGTTGATTTTGTTGGCGGCGGGGGGGGGGGGTTTCTGTGCCTCCTGGATCTGGATATTTATTTCCTTACCCGGAACAAGGACGTTTTATTTCTTGAAATAAAATTTTTGCCCTCTTTTCTCCATCATCTTCTGGGATCCTTATAAGGCAAATGTTATTACACTGGATGGAGTCGCTGAGTTCCCTGAGTCTATTCTCATTTTGCATATTTTTTTTTCTCTCAGCCACTCACCTTGATTACTTTCCATTACTCTGTCCTCACCCATTCTTCTTCTTCTAGTTTATTCCCTCTGGTGTCTTTTCAGTTTCATTTAGTCTGTTCTTCTCTGACTGGTCCTTTTTTAATCTCTTTGTTAAGGGTCTCACTGATGTCCTTCAGTCTTTTCTCAAGTCCAGTGAGTATCTTTATGACCATTACTTTAAATTTTCTCTCAGGCATATTCCTTATCTCTGTTTCACTTTGGTCTTTTGCTGTGATTTTGTCCTGTTCTTACATTTGGGACATATTTCTCTGTCTCCTCATTTTGTCTAACTCTGTGTCTGTTCCTGGGTCTTCAGAAAGTCAGCTACAGGGCGCCTGGGTGGCTCAGTTGGTTAAGCGACTGCCTTTGGCTCAGGTCATGATCCTGGAGTCCCGGGATCGAGCCCCGCCTCGGGCTCCCTGCTTGGCGAGGAGCCTGCTTCTCCCTCTAACCCTCCCCCCTCTCATGTACTCTCTCCCTCTCTCTCTCTCTCTCATTCTCACTCTCTCAAAATAAATAAATCTTAAAAAAAAAAAAAAAGAAAGTCAGCTACATCTCCCACTCTTGAAAGTAGTGGCCTTATGAGGAAGAGGTCCTATAGTGCCCTGCAGTGCAGGGTCCCATTTTCCCCAGAACCTGGTGTTTCCAAAATATCTCGTATGTGTGTTGTAGGCACCCCAGTGTTGTGGCTGAGCCACTTCTGCCATCAGTCCACTCGTCTGCAGTGGCTCTCTTTGCCCGTCGTGGGCAGGGTTTGGGTCCGGTGCCGTAGTGGGCCAGGCTGGGACCACCCTGGGCTCGAGCTGAGTCAGACTAGGCATTTGCCAGAGCTATGGCAGCACCGAACTGCAGGGCCCTTTCCCTTTGTTCTCCTCCAAGAAGCTTTCGTTGGTGCACGCAGCCTTTAGTCAGACCAGATGTCTGCCCCCAGCCCGCTGCTGGGGCCGCAGTCTGACTGCCCCTGACCGGGGCAAGAGTCACTTTGGAGCAGTGCTGGCTCCTCTCAGGGCTGTTTGCACACCGCCATGCCCGTGGCCCGCGTTTGGATGGGCTCCTGCCAAGCGTGGATTGGAGGGGACGGAGATGCAACACGCACAGGGGCAGGACATCCAGTTTTAGCAAGGTTTGCGGGCTGGTTCTCTTGTGAGAGGGAACCTGCCGCCATGTCTGGGACTGACCGTGGGGTGGGAGGAGGCAGATCTGTAAAGCATGGGGCACAGAGTGTTTGCAAGGTTTGTGCCCTTCTTCCAGGGGAGGAATCCTGTCTCGCTGGGACTCAGGCAGGCCCGGCTGCAGGGGGCAGATCCGCTTGAGCACGGTGGGATGGGATGGGGGCTCAGTGTACGGAAGTTAAGTAGTGAGTGTTGGTGCTGCCTGGTTCCTGCAAGTGGCCAAGGATTGATGCTGGGGGACAGAAGAGGGAGAGGGTGCCTTCCAGCTCCTTTGTTCCTGGAGGAGTCTCGCAGTGACCTCTGTCCCTCCAGAACACCTCTGAGATTAGTGAATTACTCTCCCTCCCGTAGGCGCCAGCCATTTTTCAAACTCCGGCTTCTGTGCTGTATCTCCTTGGCCCACGTGTTGTGCCGTCTCTTTCAGGGTGGGGACTCGGCTTCCTGTCGCCCTCAGGGCTCTCCCGGAGCTGAGCCTGCTCAGTTTTGTAGCTGGCTGGTTGCTAGTTGTAAGAACTCTGGAAATTTGGCCCCTCTGGTTTTTAAAGCCAAATGCTATGGGGATTGTCTCCCGTGCGGGCTCCCTGGTGCGAGGGTCTGTTTCTCTCCCTCCTCCACTTCCTTGGCATCCGTCCCCCTCCTGTGGACAGACCTGGGGTCCAGTTAGCTCCTCGTGGCTCTGCCCTCCCCGCCCTCTTCAGTGTGCCTCTTCTGTACATTTCGTTGTAGAGTTTGTTCTGCCATTCTTGGACTGTTTTCTGGGTTGTTTGCTCTGATGTGTTATCTACTTGTACCCTGGGATGAGGTGAACCTAGGGTCCTCCTCCCCGCCCCCATCCCTCCCGCAGCTTTCGGTGTCCATTCAGCTTTTCACTGTGGCGCTCTAGCCACGAATCACTGCCCACTCACACGCATCACTGCCCACTCACGGCTGAAGCTTTTACTGAGACTCTTCATCTTCTGGAGGCTGTGGCCTGGACTTGGGGCAAAGAAACTGCGACAGCAATTTGCAAAAGGTCTCCCCCCGCTTTTTTCTTTAGTCTCTGTGGGCAGCGCTTTGGTTATCTCCCCGGGTGTTTGTATTTGGAAGACATGATGAGATTTACAAACTTAAGGGACAGAGAAAGCATGCAAGTTTTCTTCTTGGAGTTTTGGGGTAGCTGCTCTTTAAATTTTTCCTTGGCGGGGGCGCCTGGGTGGCTCAGTCAGTGAAGCGTCTGCCTTCGGCTCTGGTCATGATCCTGGGGTCCTGGGATCGAGCCCCGTAGGGAGCCTGCTTCTCCCTCTCCCTGCCCGCTCCCCCTGCTTGGGCGCTTTCTCTGTCAAATAGATAAATAAAATCTTTAAAAAAAAAAATAAATAAATGTTTCCTTTGTGTCAGGGGTCAGAGGGATGGGCCACTTCGTCTGCTTCCTCCTCAGTTCCCACAACATCCTCCTCTTTGTTCCGATCGCCTTCCTAGAGATTCCATCTCTTACCGTCTGGACCAGGCTTTGTCACAAGCCCAGATGCTGATCGGAGGTGTCTTGTGCCCTCCTCCACACACTTGCTTCTTACTCTGCCTTCCCACCTTGTCCGCCAGCCCGGAAGGCAGCAGACTGGGAGACATTCCCACGTCCGTCTCTAATCTCAGCTCTTCTAACTCTAACTCAAGCCACGGCCTCTAGCTGGGCCTCAGGGGCCACATGAACTGCCCACGGTCGAGGCCAGCCCACCATGCAGCCTTGCCTTCCGCTTCTTTGCCACAGCCCACAGTCCCCTAAATCAGCCAGCATTTTCAGGGCGCCCCCATACTCACGCGGCCATCCATAAGCATCTGAGCTAGGGACTGCCCCTCTGCACACACAGGCCGGTGGCTGGCTCAGGAGTTCCCCTGATGCCTTTTGCCCCGAGGCCCATTTCTTCAGTGGTAATCTCCTTGGGAGCTTCCCGGATGTGATCTTAAATCGGTCCCCACACGTTGAGGGTGGGGAGAGACCAAAGAGGCAGCCACTCCAGGTCGGAAGGTGGCAGGTTTAATAAGGAAAGGGAATTTACTGACAAAGCTTGTCTTGGGCGGAGCCCTGTGCCCACCTGCTACATCTTAAAAGTTTACCAAGAGGCCTTAACTGGGTTCAGTCTTATGAACCATGCACTGTTCTCAGCTCCACATCACTGTCTCAAGGTTGTGTCCCTGGACCCCCTCCTGGGAGTGGGAAAGGCAAGCAGAACCCACATTCCAAGGACGGGGGGGGGGGCAGGTGCCTCTGATCATCCGGGTCCAGCTCATGGGTCAACCAGTGATCACATCTTTCGATGACCTTCCCCAACACATTTGGTCACAGTTGATGTGACCCACTGTTCATCCATCCATTTGTCTTTCTATTGCCTTTTATTGATCCATGCACTCATTATCTCTTCATTCTGGTTTTTTTACCCTTTTATGATCCCATCCATCTGTCTGTCCACCCTTCCATCCATCCATCTTTACAGCTGTCCATCCCTCATTCCTTCCTTTTCTCTGTTCAGGTACCCGAGAGACATTTCAGTAGAATGATCGAGACTGTGGGCTCTGCAGCCCGACTGCTTGGGTGTGAATCCCAGCTCTGCCGTTTACTAGCCATGTGTCCTTGGTCAAGTTTCCCGAGCTGTCGGTGCCTCAGTTTCCTAATGTGTGGGGATAATGATAATCCTGTTTTTCCATAGGAAGGCCAGGATCACTTGATACCAAGCACTCGCTGGGTGCCTGGTACGTAGAAACTGTCAGACTGGCCACCTTCACGAGTCTTCTGAGGTCATTGGTCCATGACCCCCTGGACTTCTGTGTCCCCCTCTGTCCGCCCCTCTGTCCACTCCCCGTCCTTTGGTCCTGCCCCCGCTGGTTGGCTGTCAGGCGTGCTGGCGGCGGCCCAGCGGAGGCTGTGTCGGTCCAGGTGCTGAAGGAGAAGAAGCAGGCGACGGAGCGGCTGGCGTCGCTGTCGGCCCAGAGCGAGAAGCGGCTGCGGGAGCTCGAGCGGCACGTGCAGCTCATGCGACAGCAGCAGGGGCAGCTGCAGAGGCGGCTTCGCGAGGAGACGGAGCAGAAGCGGCGCCTGGAGACGGAGATGAACAAGCGGCAGCACCGCGTCCAGGTCGGGCTTGGGTGGGGGGAGGCGCGGGCGCTGGGGAGGAGGGCGGCCGTGGTGGGGGGGGGCCAGCAGGCTGCATGTCGGGGCCGCTCTCCCCTCCCCCTCCCCCCCCGCCGTGGCTGTGTGACCGCCTAAGCTGCTCGCTTGGCCTCCCCGGGTGTGTTCTTTGGCCTGGAAGGGAGGAGGGCCGTGGGCGCCGCGAGGCTCGGGAGGCGAGCCGTCTCCACAGGAGCTGCGGGGAGCACGGGCAGCTCTTGGAGAGACCCGGCGCCCCCCACGGCCCCGTCGCTGAGCTGCTCGCCTGCTGTATCCCCAGGAGCTGGAGCGAAGGCACGAGCAGCAGCAGAAGATCCTGAAGATCAAGACGGAAGAGATCGCGGCGTTCCAGAGGAAGCGGCGCAGCGGCAGCAACGGCTCCGTGGTCAGCCTGGAGCAGCAGCAGGTGGGCCTGCGTCCCCGGGAGCGCCCACACCCGCCCTTCGGCCCCCCCGGGGCGAGAGTTGAGTTCCCTCCCCGCCTCCCCCACCCTCCCCTAGAAGATCGAGGAGCAGAAGAAGTGGCTGGATCAGGAGATGGAGAAGGTCCTGCAGCAGCGGCGGGCCCTGGAGGAGCTGGGGGAGGAGCTCCACAAGCGGGAGACCATCCTGGCCAAGAAGGAGGCCCTGATGCAGGAGAAGACGGGGCTGGAGAGCAAGCGCCTGCGGTCCAGCCAGGTGAGGCCCCGCCGGGGGAGGCCCCGCACACAGGGGGAGGCTCCGCAGGGTGGCCTCTTGAGGGAAGGGCCCGCAACCTCCTTAGCGTCAGCCCTGTGAGGACGGGGCTTGCTCCCTCCCCGACCCCTGGCGGTGCTGCCCCCAGGCCCTCAGCGAGGACATCGTGCGAGTGTCCAGCCGGCTGGAGCACCTGGAGAAGGAGCTGTCGGAGAAGAGCGGGCAGCTGCGGCAGGGCAGCGCCCAGAGCCAGCAGCGGCTGCGCGGGGAGATCGACGCCCTGCGCCAGGAGAAGGACTCACTGCTGAAGCAGCGCCTGGACATCGACGGCAAGCTGAGGCGGGGCAGCCTGCTGTCGCCCGAGGTAAGCCCTGCTGCTTCCCGAATGTGCTTTTCCCGCCCGGGAGACCCAGAGAAAGGGGGTGGCGGCCAGGGACATGCTGGCCTGGCCCTGCCGCCGGCTCTGGCCCCCGTGGCTGGGACACCTGGGCGCCCCTCCGCATCCTGCACGGTGTCGGCCCGTGTGTCCCACGCTTGGGCCCCCCAGGTGGGAACGAGTGTCAGCAGCACATTCCCACACCCCACGGCCAGTCCCGAGCAGCAGGGAGAGCCTCGTTGCAGTCACCTCAGCCCCGCAGACCCTCTGTGGCCTCCGTGGCAGTCCCGCCGTGCCTTCCCTTCGGCATAGAGTGTTTGGTGCTCCCTGCTGTAGATCACGGGAGAGCTGCTGCGGAAGGCAGCCTCTGAGAGCCCTGGCCTCCCCCTGGGGTCAGGGCTGTGATGGAAACTGCCTGGCCCCTGTCATAGCAGGCAGGGACCCTGCTCCTGACGTGCTGACTGCCTGCTCAGGACGAGGGGACATGATGTCTCCCTCGTGGCCAGGGGCTGTCGTTCTGGGAGTGGTTGCGGGAAGCCGGGCCTCCCCCTCCACACGTGCCCGTGTCCCGCAGGAGGAGCGGACGCTCTTCCAGCTGGACGAGGCCATCGAGGCCCTGGACGCGGCCATCGAGTACAAGAACGAGGCCATCACGTGCCGCCAGCGGGTGCTGCGGGCTTCAGCCTCCTTGCTGTCCCAGTGTGAGATGAACCTCATGGCCAAGCTCAGCTACCTCTCATCCTCGGAGACCAGAGCCCTGCTCTGCAAGTATTTTGACAAGGTGGGTCACTGGCTCCCAGGCCCCCGGCTGCCGCCTTCTGGCGCTTGCCGGGCGCGGGGGTCCTTTAGGCAGCTGCAGAGATGGCCGTTTCCTCCCAGGCGTGGGGACAGAATCCGGGATAACTCCAGTCTCCAGGGCTGCCTCAGACTCTCCTTTTTAAAACCTTTCTTAGTGAAAGTAAGCCCCAGTTCTCTCCCCGCCCCTTCCCCCCCCCCCCCGGTCGATTGGCCCCTTTGGTGTACCCGGATCAGTGGTTCTCAACAGGGAGGGTTTTGCCCCCAGGGGACATGTGGCCATGGCTGGAGCAGCTTCTGGTCATCACAGCAGGGGGGGTGGAGACCAGGGATGCCGCTAAACCTCCTACAACACACTGGACAGCACCCCCCCCCCCAACCACACATTCTTTGCCTACAATGTCAGTAGTGCCAAGGGTGAGAAATCCTGGCCGCGGTGACATCCCACCGCTCGAGGCAGGCACAGGACCGAAGCTTCGTCTTGAGAGCAGACTCTTGTCACTGGGAAATCACTGCCTAGCACACTGTGGAGGTGTCTGAAGCTCAGTCTCCGCTCAGCAGGGCCCCCTGGTGATTTCCCAATGACATGGGCCGCGGGGCAGTGGTGGCACGTTGGCCCGGCCCCTGCTGCGCCCGGTCGGGGAGGAGCTGGGGCGGGGGGCTGCGCTGGGGCACTGAGCGTGTCTGGGTTTGGGACAGGCCGTGGCACTCCGAGAGGAGCAGCACCAGCAGCAGATTGCCTTCTCCGAGCTGGAGATGCAGCTGGAGGAGCAGCAGAGGCTGGTCTGCTGGCTGGAGGCGGCGCTGGAGCGGCAGCGCCTGGAGACCGACCGCCAGCTGACCCTGCAGCAGAAGGAGCACGAACAGAACGTGCAGCTGCTGCTCCAGCAGAGCCGGGGTGAGCGCCGCGTGCCCCGCCCCTGCCGCGTGCCCCGCCCGCCGCCCCTCACCCCCTTGCCCTGGGTCTGTCCCCTCCAGATCACCTCGGTGAGGGGTTAGCAGACAGCAAGAGGCAATATGAGAGCCGGATTCAAGCTCTGGAGAAGGAGCTGGGCCGCCACATGTGGCTGAACCAGGAACTGAAGCAGAAGCTCAGTAGTTGGAGCGCTGCCGGCCCGGGCAGAGGTAATTCTCCCCCAAACCAGCGAGACGGCCCCCCGGGTTCCCCGCTTTGCAGTGTCAGGCTTCAGCCTCGGGGGAAGCTTAGGAACCACGCTAACCAGCTCTTCCCGGGGCGGCTCACACGTGGCTCACGGTGCGGGGGTACTGGGAAGCCTCCGTCTCTGATGACAGTGCCCTTTCAGTGACAGGTGCGGAGAAGAGGACCCTGTGCCTGGAGAACAGGCCGCCCCCGGGAAACGAAGAGGAGCCCCCCGCCGCACCCGAGCTTCTCTGGCAGCAGGCCCTCCCTGACGGCACCCCCCGCACCCGCGACGAGGTGCGGGACTTGGTCCGGGCCCCACTCCCGCTGACGTGGAAACGCTCAAGCCTGTGCGGTGAGGAGCAGGGCTCAGCCGAGGAGGCGCGGCTGCGGGAGGCCGCTGAGCCCCTGGCAGGGCGGGTGCAACCCGGAGGTGAGGTGGGTCTGCCCTGGAACTTTGGGCCCCTGGCCAAGTCCCGGCGGGACCTGCGCAGAGCCAGCCCGGGGATGATTGACGTCAGGAAGAACCCCCTGTAGGCTCATGGGCGGAGCCTGCCTTGGGGGTGGGGGGGTGACCCTCCAAGCCTGCTGCGTGCCTTCGCTTCTGGGAAGGACAGTCTTTACTTCCCACTGCAGATCTGGGTCCCGATCTTTACCCCATTGGAGTCAACAAATTCGGGCTACAGCCCAAATGAATTGGACTCAATTTTTTCTAAAACATGCAAACTCCTGCCCCTCATTTCTTTTGGGCTATGGTACCACCTTGCCATCTTTTGGCTTGAGAGTTTGCAAAAGGCAGTTCTGGTCTCAAGCCTGCATGTGTGTGCCTGGCGATCTGGGGTTCAGCCAGTGCTGGACCCAGAACACTCAGTGGCAACCGGTTTGGGTTTTTAAGTGGTCTTTTGTTTATGGTGGGAATGGGGAAGTTTTGCCTATTTTTAGAATTTTGTAAAACCATTTTATAATAAATGAGACTCTCTGAGGGGAGAAATAGGAGTTCTGACTTGGTGTGATCTACAAGATGATAAGAGAATTCCATCTGAGGACACGACAGGCTTGCAAGCTTTTCAGGCTCCCAGGAGGCCACTCCGCACCCCCAAGCCCCCACCAGCTGCATCTCCCGGAGCATGGTGAGGACAGGGCCGGGCCGGGTTTCAGGGCTGACTCGGAGACGCAGAGCCGGGAACCACTAGAGCTCGGCCAGAGTGAGGCAACCTGAGGCCTCCAGGTATAAACAGAAAGGCACTGAATGCTATGCAGCCTGAGAGGATTTTATTGTGACATAGGGAAGGTAAATTGATTCTGCTGTTGGCTGCAGCCTTCAGCTTTGTGAGGGGCCCCTGAGGAGCCCTTCTCCCACTTCACAAGTAGGGGGGGGGGTGGTTGTCGGACTGGCCTTGGGGTCTCAGAGGCGGGGGCCGAAGGGGAGCCTGCTCTTATAATTCCTGGTCTGCCTCCCCAGCTGAGTCAGAGCACCCACCGCACCACCTCCCTAACAAGGGGCAGGGCTGGGAGGAAGGCACCCCCGGAGGGGGATTAAAACCCCTAAGGGACTCTTGTGGCAGTTGGAGAGCTGACACAGTAAGAGAGGACCGGGGCCAGGCCCCCCGGTACCTGTAAGCCCATGGGGACCAGGCTGACTTGTCTTTTGAGCTTTCTTGGTTCCAGGGAGCCCTCCAGGGTGACGTAGGACAGCTTAGGCCCTGGCTCAGATGAACTGAGTTTCTGGGGTCAGACATCCTCTGTGACAGGGGCCTGGAATTCCTGACATGTCCAGAGGAAACTGCTCTCAGAGCACTTCGTCTGGCCTGGGAAGGCAGGCAGTGGCTCTGGCCAAGCTCAGTAGTGAGTGGAGGTTTAGGTCCCCCTACCAGTTCCAGCCTAACTAGCTAAGGAGTTTCTTCCGTGTGTAAGTCCTGCTGATGGGGCGTCTCCTGGAGAATGCTCGGCTGAAAGGAGATTCTTCGGCCGTGGGGGGGGACGACCTCCATCTCCTCATCTAGAAGAGGGCACAGGGGGGCATGCAGGAAGTGAGGGCGGAACAGGAGAGAAGGGGCTTGAACGGGAGAGAGGTCCCCATGCAGGCACTGCCTGCCGGTGCGCGTGCTGCGCGTTCTTCCAGGCTCTCCACACTCACATCAGCGCAGGGCTGGCAGCGGCTTGGAAAAGCCCAGTCCTGCGGTCTGAAGTCCCTCAGCTGGATTGTGCATTCTGCTGTTTTGCGTGATTTAGATCCCGGTCTCGGGGGGAAGGGAATCACTGGAGCCTCCTGGATTCCCCTTCCATTCTAGATGTTTCTAACCCAGTGCAGAATCACTGGAGCCTCCAGCCTCCTGGATTCCCCTTCCATTCTAGATGTTTCTAACCCAGTGCACTGAGCACCTGCAAGCCTGTCCCTTTCCCGGGTGGGGGTCGAGGAAAGGGACCCCTCAAGTCTGAAGGCTGATCACAGCGGCCAGTCCCTAATCCTAGCGCGTGTACAGAAGCGCAAGGGGGTAACCCCCTGGGTGGAGAGGGGGGACGGGCTGCCACCGTGCTGCCAGACACACGCTCCTCAGGTGCCAGTGACTACACCGCACCGTAGGTCCACCTCTGTCACTGCTTCCAGAAGCTGTTTTATGGCACAGGGGAGTGCTAGTGTGGTTTCTCTGGGAAGAGCACAGGACACTGCAGGGACCAAGTCCGCTGTCCCGGATCAGGCACGCCCTCCGACTCCACAGTCCCACTGCCTGGCCACCCTGAGCAAGCCCTGGGGAGTCACCCGAAGGACCCAAGTTTGGTCAGCCTAAGTCTCCAGGACCTTTGCTCAACAAATTACCTCTGGCCTCCTGACACCGCGAGGAAGGCGTCTTCCCCTGGAACAGCAGCGGGGACTGGGTGAGAGCCTGCAGGCCGCTAGCCGAGAGGCAGCTCCGCGGCGCGTGGCCCGGCGGGGGCGTGGAACCTAGGGGAGGGTCGAGGGTGAGCACGGCCCCGTGGCGCCCCCGCCAAAGGAACCGCCGGCTGCCACCCCAGGGCCGCGGACTCACCTGGCACGAACACGTCGTCAGCCCCCAGGGAGGGGACGTGCCACCCACTGGCACGTGGAGACCACTCCTCACTCCTGCTCAGCTCTGCGTCTCCTCTCTGCTCCTCACACACTCTCTTGGCTGGACACTCCGCTTCCTCCTTGGCGGGAAGGAGCCTCTTCCTGGAACCCCACCCGAACTGGCCCCAGGAGAAGGCTTCCTCAGCCTGAGGCGCACTGTCCCTGGGAGGCGACTGGTCTGGCAGCTGGCACACCCCCTCAAGCTCAAAATCCCCCAGGAGGGGAGTCCTGCTGCTGCCGAGTTCAAGGCCACCTCCTCGCTCCCTTCGCTCCGGCTCGAGCAGGAACACGCCTGCGGGAAGGTCTGTGCCCATGTCGCCCCTCGCGGCAGAGCTGCCGCCCCCCGCCCTCTTCCTCCGCGGCCAGTCCTGAATGGTGTCAGGGGTGGTCTTCCCGCTGTGCTTGGGAGACGGGGTCCAGGGGACACCGTCTGTTTGAAACGGAGAGGGGGTGCTAGAGGGGCAGCGGGTGGGGGTACAGGACTGGCAGATGTAGGTCTGTCCCCCGCTCTTACCGGGGGTGCTGTGTGAGGGACGAAGGCAGGGGGGCGACACGTAGGTGGCTTCAGGTTTCCCTGAGGACTTGCTGGCCCCAGGCATGCTGAGTCCGGGGAGGGAGCTCTCCTCCCTTCTCGGGGGCTCGGCTTCCACCAGGCAGCTGGGGTCTATCTTTTTAATGCGAAGCTTGGGCAGGCCCGAAGCTTGCATCTCAAGCTCCACCTCGTAGGTCTGGGGGCTGGCCGAGGCTTTCGAAAGCCGAGTCGAAGCCTGCAGCTTCTCCGGCGGCATGGCCGCCTGGCGCTGCCTTCTGTCGGCGGTGCGGCGCAGGACATAGGACGAGGCCCGGGGAGAGCGGGGCCCGCGGGAAGGAGGGGATGGCGGGCTCCCGGGGTCCGACGGAGAAGGCTTCTCCCGCCCCGTCACCGGCCTTGACGCCTCACCTTCCGCTGCCGTGACGTGGCCTGGCGAGCCGTCGCTGCCGTGGTGCTCCGCTTCGTCCAGGAGAGCGAGATGGCCCGGGGCACTTGCCCTCAGCACAGGAGAGGACATACACCAGTCACTCCCGCAGCCGGTCCCAGAGGAACTGTGTCCTTCCGGGGAAGGCTGGTCCTTTCTAGCGTCTGTGAGGGCGGCGGGGCTGCCAGCTGCGGCGACCCTAGGAGCAGCAGAGGTGCTCGGCCGGCCCTCCAGGGAGCTGCTTTCCAGGTCTGAGGTCTCTCTGCACCTTTTTCCAATTTTTGCAGGGGCCCGAGGGGGCACGGGCTCAGACTGGGCGATCCGTGAGACTCGGTGGGGAGTGGAGGGACCAAGCCAGGAGAGAGACAAGGCTACAGGGGGTGCCTTCTGGGGCTCTTCCCAATCCAGTTCTTTGCGGGGAGGAGATTCTATTGAAAATTCCCAAAATGGACTCTTGGCAATTTCACCTAAGGGAGAGGCCAAAGGTTTTTTTGGAGAAAGATCGGGGGGAGAAGTCAGATTGGTGCTCCGCGGTGTCTTGGGGACTGAGGCAGCTTTATCCCTCCATTTCTGTGTGAGTTCCTCTGCCTGAGAAGCCCCGGGGACATGGGGATGGGGGTGTGCTGGATCTGGAGGGGTCTCTCTTCGCCCCCCCGGGGCTGCTGCTCTTGGAGGGGTTCTCAGTGCGGACCTGACGGGCGTCAGACCCTCACTCCCGGTCAGACCTGCTGGGCAGGAGGTGCTTTTGGGACTGGAAGTCACTGAGGGTGGCCAAGTAGAATTCAGAAATCCAGGTGGCTGACCCCCTGGCCTTTTGGGAGTTCTTGGTATCTCCGTTTCAAGAGGAGAGGTTCCTCCTTTTGCCAGGGAGTGTCCTTTCCAAGGAGTGACTTTGGGTTGAGATGGTGAATCCCAGCTATGTGAGGAGTCTTTTAAGGACTCTTTAAAAATGACCTGTTTGGCAGGAGTCACTTCTGTAGGGAGTTTCCGCCGCCTTTCCGGGGTGCACAGTGAAGTTTGTGGCGTACGAGGGAACCTTCTTGGGGTAGCTTTAGAAGAGCTTGGAGACTTCCGGTTACTCTTCTTAGGAGTCTGTAAAGAGATGCTTATTTCAGTGCCTAAATATCATAACCCCTATTCTCTATCGAGCATTTTAGTCCTCTCTAAGGCAATGAGAAAGGCAGATGGGAGATTTCTGGGCCGATGGAATGACCGTAAGCTGATTTCCAATAGCAACACGTTTCCACTTCCAACCATGACCCAGATTTCACTTGTCTGTTTTTTCCTAGCACCAAACACTGAATCTAATCTTGGGTCTAAGACAAAAAATTTTCGTAATATGCATACGGCAATAAACCAGACTTTGCCTCGTTATTTGCCTCTAACGACGTGTCACTCTACCACTCACAGCTACCTTTCTCTTCAAGGAGATTGCTCCTTCTGATCTCTGCCTAACATGGCCTCCAGGTGTCACATCCTCTGCTGTTCACCTGCATTCAGCATGTGCTTGCCACGCCCCCACCATGTGCCGGGCCCCGTGTGAGTGTGTGTGTCTGTGACGGGGGAGGTAGGGTATGGAATATACAGACACCTAAAGTACAGCAACACAGCCATCTCAGGAAGGAGACCCCCAGCCAATCCCCCTCCCTTTCTGCAAAAGGCAGTTACACACCCAATATATAAAGGAGATCAGACACCTATCGTTTCTATTTGATTATCTCAAGGGAATCCTGGTCTAGTGGGCATTTCACGTTCAATGGGGCACAGCCAGATAACAACACAGTGTCACCAGTGCACTGACAGGGCCACGCACGGGACAACGTGGGAGCACAGGAGCGGGCTGGCTGTCTAACCCAGCTAGCAGGAAAGGGGGACAGGAACAGGGAGTCAGGTCTTTAAGAAGGGGGTGTCAGCAGGTAAAGGCCAAAGGTGGGAAAGTAGGAACTCTTCCTTTGCCTAAGATGAACAGTAGCAGCTGTGTGCAGGCCAGCATGCAGCCTGATGTGGCCGGGAAAGTGGATTATGAAGCAAAGGAGGGTGAGAGGCAAGGGCCATAGCCAGCCCACAGCAGCCCATGCCTGTCTGGGAGGACTGACCCTGGTCCTGGAGATCGGTGGTCTTCAAACCCATCCCCAGAGCTTTGTGTCCTCCCCCAACCTCTAAGCCGTTTTATTGGGTTTCCAAGCAAAGATTATTTTTTTAATAAAAGGGTTCCATTTTAGGAAAACCTAGAAAACCCTGCTTTAACAAAGAGTCATAGAGCTTTAAGCAAAGTGACGCAGTATGAAAGATCACTCCGGCTTCTGGGGGCAGGATGGACATGAGAGGGAAAAGGCAGTTGAAATGTTCCAGGCAGAACCGAAGGCAGGCAGGAACTGCAG